TTATATTATTGTTATTATTTATGTAGCCTTTTCTTCGAAACAAGCCTAAGATTAAAATATCAGAAATCAATGATTTCTTTTCATAAAACACACACATTATTGCACAGTGCAGGACGTATATGAACAAATTTCAGCACAAAGTGCTGCTAAGTTTATCACGCAGCATTAAACGTGATGGATACGTATTTGTATCATAGTAATTACAACGTTTTGAAGCTACAAAGTGAAAAAAAAATGGGTTTATACACGGATTATGTTATAGAGATTGAAGGTGCAGCTTTTTATTGAGAGTCTATACATACATATTTCTAGAAAAAAACACATGTTAAATTCATGCTCTAAATATACTGATATAGGTGTAAGCTTTGATACTCTATTATGCGGCATACATCGAAATTAACGTGCAAGATTAACTGCTACACAACTTCTGGACAAGCAGCATCTGTTGTAGCCATCTTTATCCAATTAACGATACATTTTTGCTACTGCTATTCTTTTGTCATACATCATAGTAAGAATTTGAATGTCACGATTTGAGAATGTAAGAGCTAGCACTACTAATGGTGTATGGGCCACTGAGACAGGTGATAATTGCCCTACTATCCTGTAACTATTCAGCTTACACATTTACCACACTAATACTTTTCGTGATTAACTTTTTAATACTCTTATTCGCTACAGCCTGATTTTTAGAGCTTGATGACTTGCTAACCTTATAGGGACCTATCGTAAAAAAATAACTAGTCCTACAAATGTCGAAATACGGAAATTTCAGTTGACAATACATTAAATGTCTGTACAGAATCCAATATTATTTTAACGCATAAACCTCAAATTTAAGGCTACAGTTATGGGCTACCAGGGGACGAATACGTGGTAAAGGCCCTATTGCTCTACAAAACAAAACTTTTAGTGGCAGCCACAACTGAATATTATCATCAACAATAAAAATTAAACTTATAAACTACGTTTGATACAAATTTATCATAAACTAAACAAGTATTGACAAATTAAACAAGTAAAAATATGTTCTCAGAAACACAGAATTCAATGTTAATATTTTTACAATAGTCTTCTATAAGCACTTGTAATTTTCAACACTGGTGAAAAGTTACTAAAAAAATGTTATTAAAAATGAATCAGCCAAATTATCGGTTTTCTGTCAAAATTATATATAACTCGACCCAGCAAGATTCCATACCCTTGGACTTTGACATACATTCTTTGAAAATGGCTTAGAATTAACGGCCACTATTGTTAATACTGGTAAAACAGTAGTAAGAAAAATTGTGAACAATTCGAACTATCTAGGTCTTGATTTTGCGTAAAAAACTGTTCACATGTAACTCAGAACGATATATTTTTTACTACCATTGTGAAAAACATTACTGATGATATATCACTGAAAAAAGATTCTTTCTAACTTAGAAGAAAAAATAGGGTTCTCACCAGGTGCGCATCAGACCAGGGCAACCACAAGGAGTCCTTTCGGCCTGGTGCTTGTCCTGGTGATATGTGTCACCAGGTATGAAAACTACCATTACGGTAACTTACTCTGTTATAAATAAGTTAACAAATTTTTTTCTCTATATTGGCATTTATAGAAATATGTTTCAAAAATATGTAAGAATAACAGTAAGTGTAGACAATGTAATATTAATAAGATCATGAATTCATTTTTGGCTGATCTACGGTAATTTTTTTAATAAATAGCGATAATTAATTTAATAAAACTGCTTGTAACTTTTAACGTTACTTTTAAGTCATCTTATCAATAATATGTACATTGTCATTAACTATGGTAGAAGCACATGCATGCAATTCTGGATCTCTGGAATCACACAGGTCTGAGTAAAAATGTTTATACGAAAAATTGGTATTTTTAACTGTTTAATTTGCATATAACGTTGTTATTTACAATGTACTGGTAGTCAATTTAGTTTAAATACGTTATATATATTCTTAATAATATTTTTATGCCGTGAGTGGCTCTAAAAATTATTTTTTGCTAATTTCTGGGGCTTTTTGCCACCACTTATTCAGCCGTGGCCAGCTGCTAGGTTTAGCTTCCAGCTTCAGTTTCGTCTTTCGAAGTGAAATTTTTTGTTAAATGGAATGATATTGTTAGACTGAATAGATAGTATTTTAATGTAATATGCGGTGTTATGAAAAATGTGTGCTAAAAATTTTGCAAGCTTTTTGTATAAGTACGTCGTAATTCAATATGTATATGCGGAAATATATACCTAATTTGCATTCAAACTTTCGAAAAAATAAAAAAAAAATTGTTCAGGGCAAAAATTTTAACCAATCTTCTTCTCATTCTTTCTATCCTTAGAAATAAGAAAAAATTATGTGCAAGCATTTGAGGGGTTATGATACTGTTTTCCACCCCACTGAAGATTTAAAATACTAATCTCCTTAAGTGAAAAAGCTGGAATGAACTGGAAAATGTCAGAAACTGATTTAATCGCGCTGCGTTACAAAAAATCTCATTTTCTTGCATTCTGTAGATGTTAGAAAACAATAATTATCGCTGGCCCTTGCATTATCTCAAAATAAGAATAATTTAGTGAAAGCTTACCCCTCCAAAGCATCCCCATCAATTGTAGTACCAGATATAGGTGTCCAAATGGATTATTTCACCTCGGAAATTCACTTTTTGAAGGTTCTTAAGGTGACTAACTATAAATTAGAGTTCTGTTTGCAAAGAGGGACAGTTTTGATTTCTCATAATTACCCCCAGATGCAGTGAATTAGCAAGAAATTTATAATTTGTCTTCCGTAACCATTTTCCAGGAGTTTCTGAGGTCGTTGGAAATGCAACTCATAAAATCACCCCCACATTCAGAAAATTACTGAAAAGCTTATAATTTTGCCTTCAAAAACTTTGCATAGAGGTTTTCGAGGTCACCGATCAAAATTTTGAGGTCCAGTTATGTTCAGGGGTGAATTTAATGCTGTTAAACTCTCCCATCAAAAGATATACAAATAAATTTTTTATACTTTCCTAAGAGAGGATTTCCAAGGCGTAATAGTAGAGTTTTAAAATGGCATACATTTGAATAGTGATTTGGCAAGCGTTTATCAGTGCTCACTCGAAGTCAGCGTAAACTGTATTTCCAATATTTTTGTCAATTCGAAGTTTAATAGAGTTTATAACAAACATGTATCTATTTTGAGTCCTACATGCTTAAACACTATGTAAAAAACCACTTTGCTCATTGAAAATATTTTGGAACATTAAAAAAATGTCTTTTCGCACTATGCAAATGAACTTATAAAGATAAATATACGTGCACGTATATTGTATTAATGTATGTTTTCAGTACTTGAATGTAACAGTAAACCAATACAAAGTGTAGATGTTGGATAAAATCAATTAATTATATTTAATTTCAGCTAAACTTTCGTGTTTTAAATCAATGATTTCTTTCAAACTGGTACAAAATATTATGATACGTATACTTAAAAAAGTATTTCGAGTGAAAGGTACAACATTTTTGGTGCAATTTTTGCATTTTAATCCTTTTTTTTTTTTTTTTTAATATTCTTTCATTTTTTTATAGCTTTATATTGTATTCCCTCACTATGTATGAAAACTGTTTGTGTTCATTGTAAAAAAAAAATAGTTTGCAACTAAGATACAAACATACAAAACTTTCGATTTCGTATAAATATGTCGTATTATCTATCCTAGTAACGATATATACTATTTTTTATATCAGTGTGCCTTTATACAAGAAATCAGCTGAAACTAGATTTCTTATTATATTACAGCTATTTTTTAAATATTCTAACTTAATACGTAAAAAAGCGCTATTTAAGAAAATAAAGTTAAAAAAATAATATTTTGAAATTTGAATATTAATGTTTGTATTTCACGTTAACGTTAAAATAGCAGAAAAGAACGAATCACTGTTATGTATACGTATGCGCGCTCGCCCGTATGTGTGTGTGCGTGTGCGTAAGTAAGTATTAACATGTACGTGACACGTTTCCATAACTGACAAAAAGTGCAAATTATTTTCTCCAAAAAATTGTGCACAGCACTAAAAAGTCCCATTAATTAATATCAATGTAGTTTGGGCGAACTCTGACCCAAGTTTTTCATGTTTTCATGGCAAGATAGTCTCTATTGTCTTGATTGACTATTAGTGACGAGTAAAACTTTGTTCTTTAACTTTCTAGAGCTTTTTCATAGTTGGGATTGACTTACTGGGTGTAAAAACAGTGTACAGTATCAGGACTAGTCGAAAGGGCCTTTTTCCACCTGAATTTTATTAGCTGCTTAGAAAACGTTGCTATTTTAGCAGCAGGAGGATGAGTATCGACAAAACACATGTTTAAGAAAAACAGAAGAATTATATTAAGCTTATAAGTAAGGAAAATTAAAAATATTATATCCTTCTATTATTCTGCTGCTTGTTATATAGAGCAAATTTACTTAATTTAGTGAACTTTTATCAGTAGGTAAGTTGTGGCGGTTCTGGCAACTCCCCAAGTGCCCTCCTCAGGTAGTGATGAGGGAAGAGGCTAAGGCTGTAGATGGAGGAGGAGTGGTAGTGGGGGGGGGCTGGAGGAGAGGCGGTGGTGGGAGGAGAGGCCACCAACGAGCACTGACATAATTTGATTTGATGAGCTTTACTAAGTACGCAAAATCGTTTTTTACGGAGACTTTTAAGAGTCTCATGAGTAGTACACATTAACGCCTTTGTTAAATATCCCATACTAAGGACGTGACATAATGGCATCATACATTGTTGAATATTAATCACAGCACAGCACCCCATGGTAAATTCAAAATGCGCAATTGCATTATCTTTATAAACGTTAATTTGGTTAGCATTTTTTGCTACGGCACACAAGTGCTGCTGTAATTTTCTAATGGAACAATTATCCTCGAACCAACGAGGTCCATGCACTTTCTTCGACTGATGATCCTTATTTTGGTGCACTACCATAGGTAAGGTAGAAAAATTACATGGGGGCCGCACAATTCAATGACTGATCGCCAGTGTCTTAAGAGGCACAACAGCCACTTCTTTGGGTAAAAACTGTTGAGAAGCGTCGAGAAAACCTTCAATCTCTATAACATAATCCGTGTATAAACCCATTTTTTTTTTACTTTGTAGCTTCAAAACGTTGTAATTACTATGATACAAATACGTATCCATCACGTTTAATGCTGCGTGATAAACTTAGCAGCACTTTGCGCTGAAATTTGTTCATATACGTCCTGCACTGTGCAATAATGTGTGTGTTTTATGAAAAGAAATCATTGATTTCTGATATTTTAATCTTAGGCTTGTTTCGAAGAAAAGGCTACATAAATAATAACAATAATATAATTTAAAACATTTATGTGACATTACTTCAAAAAACATAGTTTTATTGATTATTACTATACATCTTCTTCAGAATCAATTATATTTCACCATTTGATATGTAAGTAGAATTTTTTAAGAACAAAGTTCTTTACGTAGCGTACTCAGGGGGCTGAAATTTTAAAACCGACAAATTTTTTGAAACGGAAGTGGTTTACCCGAAGTCTCTTCCTCTCAAGTTTCCCCCCTTACCCCATCCCCCTCACCTACTGTTCTCTACACACTTCCCCTCCCCCCCTATATATGTATATCT